AAGGAATGGAGAACTAAGACAAATATATTTCATATTGTTGGTTTGAATTAATGGCAGAACGTGCAATGTTTATATTATATTAGTTACATATTGCCAGGGGAATTATCCAATCTAAATGTAAGTACTGTATTCTTGGTTCTAATTTTTAACACCCTGAACAGTTTGAGAACTTGAAGGATTGTCCTTAGGCAAACCAGTCTGCCTACATAATGAGATCCATTTTTAACCCTTGGTGGTAGCCGTAAGCACAAAAAACAGGTCTTCTCCCACTCTGGTGGAATTCTCTTTCAAGTGGGATTCTACTCAATCCCACTCATAATGTTTGCTGCACTTTTTAAATATAATTTTATTATATTTAAGCTGTAGCTTCTTATATTATATTATATATTATATTATATTAATTATATTATATTATATTAATTATATTATATTTAAGCTGTAGCTGCTTTATTATATTTGAGCTGTAGCTGCTTTTGCAATCTCTGTCTATAGAGTTGAATGCTATTTTATTACTATCACCATCTGTTACTGTTTAATGTTAACTGTGGTAGAGTATTTAATTATGTTTTATATAGTTATAAATGTTTTAATTTGAATATATTTCTGAGCTGTTTTATAAGAATATTCTCTCTAAGGTGGGATAAAGATTTATTACATAGTACTAATACTATTAGTATAACTAATGACAAATCTAATGCCCTTTCATCAGAGCCCTGCATTTCTTGGGGCTACTCGCCATCCTGCAAGGCAGCAAGCTCAAAGGGACAGAGATGGGGAAGACAACTGGGTAGGAGGAGTTGAAGAGGAAATCCCTCACCTTACTGAGACTTGGGGTTAGGAGGGAGCAAACCTGGAAAGGCTTGGACTAGGAGGGTACCCAACTAATGGAATTCGGTTAATGACAGGAATGGGAAATGTAGATATTGCCGTTGTTAAGTGATCCAGTAATGTGACATTGCACCTTACAACCGCATCATTATGAGCCGTGGTGGCGCAGTGATTAGAGTGCAGTATTGCAGGCTACTTCTGCTGACTGCTAACTGTCTGCAATTTGGCAGTTCAAATGTCACCATGCTCAAGGTTGACTCAGCCTTCCATCCTTCCGAGGTGGGTAAAATGAGGTCCCAAATTGTTGGGGGCAAGATGCTGACTCTGTAAACCACTTAGATAGGGCAGTAAAGCACTGTAAAGCAGTATACAAGTGCTATTGCTATTGTTATTGCTATCACTGACCAATGGAAATTTTGATCCCAATTGTGATGTCAAGGACTACCTGTAATTACCAATATTGGGCAGAGTCTTTTAGATTCAGAAGCTGTTCACAACAAGGTTTCTTTCTTTTTTAGAAGTCATTATGTTTCCCAAGGTAGACAGGCTTTAACCAAGATAACTGAACCAAGAATATCCCAAACATCAATTCCAAATAGTGAACGCTAGAAAATAAATTTCCATATTGCATTGGCTGTTGTCTGGGACAACAAGGACCGTAACTGATACTATAGAACTTGTGCATCAGGTGACAAGTGAGCTACAAGTTTTGGTTCCCTCTGCTAGGAAAGCAAACATCCACAAATGCAACAGCACACAACAGCGAACACATAAATTAATAACAAGGTAAACTCATTTGTAAAAAAAATGTATCAAATTCCCTCCCTCCCTGTTTAATAAACTAGACTTGCGTTCATTCATTTGTGCAGAAGATTAAAGAGCAGTCATAGATATGATTCTGGTTTTACTTTCATAAATACATACAATATTGCTTGAGATCTTCATGTATAAAAAGTAGGTGAGGAAACTTTAATTATGTTTGGGTAAATACAGTTCAGTTAATACCTTTATCTGAAAGCAAGAACCCTGCTTTTATATAATTTAAATAAAGTTATTTTTAGTACTATCAAAGTTAATTAACATTAAACATAAGTCCAACTGATAGTATGAACTTTATTCAAGAATATTTTGATATGCTTTCATTAAATTTATTTTAGAAAAATAAGAATCAAAATGAAAGGAAAAGACATAGAAACCTAAAGTTATATAGAACACTTTTACTATGGCTCTACATGTGAAATGCAGAAATGCCTATGGAATAAAATTATATGGAAGACAGAAATGTTATTAAAAATAATACATTCTATCTGTGGAGGCTACTGATTTCATATTTCTTTACTTGTGAAGTTAAAACAGCAGTATTCCACTTAGTTCTGTTTGCTAATTCTTCAGAGGATAAAGTTATTACATTTTGTTTGGTCAAATAAAACCTAATTATTAAGATACACCACTTAGGAACTTCAAAGAAATTCAAGCATTCTTTTTACAAGCAACAGATATTACATGTACGGAAAGTGAAGAATTCTTATGAATCCATTTTGGTGAAGAAAATAAAGGAAACTGATATTTTCTGTATATTTTGGAGAACTGCAAGCAGTAATGCATATATAATTGCTTGGTTTCCTTGAGGATTGAATTAAATCAACTGGAAGGAATTGAACTTGTATGTCCAAATATCTATCTTGGCTGCTAGTCTGGCTTTCAAACCAGAACATACAGCTCAGGAAGAGAGATGTAGTTTTTGTTTATTCTAGCAACATTTTATTAGTTAATTTAAAAAGTCATTTGCAATTCCAAAATCAAAGCTTATGTTCTAAAAATCCACGTCCAGGAATTAAAAACATTTTAACTGCGTATAATATTTTTTTATCTGAAACAAACTGTTTGCAACAGTTCTGCCTATATCATTTATATGACAGAAAGGGTAAAGCTCTCTTAAAAACACCTTTGTATATGCTTAGTTTATTTTGACTAAAGGTGTTAAGTATGATAGCTTTAGCAGGCAGAGCTATTGATAGTAATACTGTTTAAATGGCATAGTGAACCATCATGGGCTCATCAATGGAGCAAGATGACCTCTCCTCACATGATTCAACAACTATGCTGCCAAGGGGAGGCCCAAATGACAGAAATGTACATCCCTTTTTGTACAAGTGGGGATGGAGCAGAATTTTGGCATGAAGCTGAGGGAGAAGAGCTAGACAACATGTTGCTGCCTGGCAACCAAGTACTAATTGTTCTGTGGAAGAAGGTGTTCTCTTCCCTACCAAGCACCTGGCAAGGCAATCTGGAGAGGAGAATTCAAGAAATAGCAGCATTAGCATAGGCATCCATAGGCTGCTAAGGGCCTCATGCAGACGGAAAATAAATGCACTTGTTTTAGTGGAAAGTTTGTGTAACTGGATCAGAATCAGTTCTGATGAACACATCAGAGTTACAGGGTGACTTGTTTAGCAGCTGCCTGGTTTAGTAACTGTTCACAGTTATGACAGAGATGAAAAGTAACTTTACAACCAATACAGGTGAAACTCAAAAAATTAGAATATCGTGCAAAAGTTCACTTATTTCAGTAATGCAACTTAAAAGGTGAAACTAATATATGCGATAGACTCATTACATGCAAAGCGAGATAGTTCAAGCCTTGATTTGTCATACTTTTGATGATTATGGCTTACAGTTCATGAAAACCCCAAATTCACAATCTCAGAAAATTAGAATATTGTGAAAAGGTTCAATATTCTAGGCTCAAAGTGTCCCACTCTAATCAGCTAATTAAGCCATAACACCTGCAAAGGGTTCCTGAGCCTTTAAATGGCCTCTCAGTCTGGTTCAGTAGGAATCACAATCATGGGAAAGACTGCTGACCTGACAGTTGTGCAGAAAACCATCATTGACACCCTCCATAGGGAGGGAAAGCCTCAAAAGGTAATTGCAAAAGAAGTTGGATGTTCCCAAAGTGCTGCATCAAAGCACATTAATAGGAAGTTATGTGGAAGGGAAAAGTGTGGAAGAAAAAGGTGCACAAGCAGCAGGGATGACCACAGCCTGGAGAGGATTGTCAGGAAAAGGCCATTCAAAAGTGTTGGGGACTTTCACAAGGAGTGGACTGAGGCTGGAGTCAGGGCTTCAAATGTCGTATTCCTCTTGTCAAGCCGCTCCTGAACAACAAACAACATCAGAAGCGTCTTACCCTGGCTAAAGAAAAAAAGAACTGGTCTGTTGCTCAGTGGTCCCAAGTCCTCTTTTCTGATGAGAGCAACTTTTGCATTTCATTTGGAAACCAACCCAGAGTCTGGAGGAAGAATGGAGAGGCACACACTGCAAGATGCTTGAAGTCCAGTGTGAAGTTTCCACAGTCTATGTTGATTTGGGGAGCCATGTCATCTGCTGGTGTTGGTCCACTGTGCTTCATTAAGACCAGGGTCAATACAGCCGTCTACCAGATTTTGGAGCACTTCATGCTTCCTTCCGCAGACGAGCTTTATGGGGATGCTGACTTCATTTTCCAGCAGGACTTGGTACCTGCCCACACTGCCAAAATACCAAAACCTGGTTCAGTGACCATGGGATTACTGTGCTTGATTGGTCAGCAAACTCGCCAGACCTGAACCCCATAGAGAATCTATGGGGCATTGCCAAGAGAAAGATGAGAGACATGAGACTGAACAATGCAGAAGAACTGAAGGCCGCTATTGAAGCATCCTGGTCTTCCATAACACCTCAGCGGTGCCACAGGCTGATAGCATCAATGCCACACTGCATTGAGGCAGTAATTGATGCAAAAAAGGGGCCCAAACCAAGTACTGAGTACGTATGCATGCTTATACTTTTCAGAGGTCCGATATTGTTCTAAGTACAATACTTGTTTTATTGATTTCATGTAATATTCTAATTTTCTGAGATTGTGAATTTGGGGTTTTCATGAGCTGTAAGCCATAATCATCAAAAGTATGACAAATCAAGGCTTGAACTATCTTGCTTTGCATGTAATGAGTCAATCTCATATATTAGTTTCACCTTTTAAGTTGCATTACTGAAATAAATGAACGATATATGAATATATCTGAATATGATAAATGAATATCTTTTGCACAATATTCTAATTTTTCGAGTTTCACCTGTAATTTTGCAGATCTGTAAAGAAAGGAAAACTGAAGTAGGATCATACTTACAGTTTCACTTAGTGACTGGTATATTTAGACTTGAATTGCTATTCCCAATTGTGGTCGCAATTGAACTATTGCTTGTAAACATTGTGGGGTTTCTTCTGAAAAATATAAAAAGATTGCAGGACAAATGGTTCTGGGAAAGGAAACCTTATCTCAATCTTGAGCTATAAAATAGAATAATAGCCACCCTAGCCAAATTATAGTGCAGGCAGTCCTCGACTTATGATCACAATTGATTCCAAAATTTTGGTTGCTAAGTGAGATATTTGTTAACTGAGTTTTTCCCCATTTTACAACCTTTCTTGCCACAGTTGTTAAGTGAATCACTGCAGTTGTTAAATTAGAAACATGGTTGTTAAGTAAATCTGCTTTCCCCATTGACTTTGCTTGTCAGAAAGTTGGAAAAGGGTTGATTTGACTCAGGGACACTGCAACTGTCATAAATATGAATCAATTGCTAAGTGTCTGAATTTTGATCACGTGACGTGGGGATGCTGCAATGGTCATAAGAGGGAAAAATGGTCATAAGACATTTTTTTCAGTGCCGTTGTAACTTTGAATGGTCACTAAACTGTTGTAAGTTGAGGACCACATGTATATACAGTATTTGCAAAGAGAAAAGACTGGTAGGTAATATGTCGCTTGTGGTAAAATGGGCAGCATATAAAATTAATAAATAAATATGTACATGCTTAGTTATATTGTCCTAATCCAGCTATGTTTAGTTGTGAGTTAATTTTGTGAGAGGTTACAAACCCCTCAAGCTATATCAGTTCAGATGGAGACTCATATGAGAAAGTGCTGTTCCCTTTATAAAATATAAATATGAACATATATACCCGAAAGTCTACTTAAACAACAATTTACTCCACTATAATCCCCATCCAAAATACCTTGGAGTAGCATTGGAGTGGACTTTCTCCTATAAGTACATCTAGAGAATACAGTGGCAAAAATCAATACTAGGAACAACATACTCCAGAAATTATGTGGAACTAAATGAGGAACTTCAGCTGCCAACCTCAGGTAATCCGCAGTAGGGTTACTCTACTCCGCAGCAGAATACTGTGCCTTGTATGGCTTCACAGCTGCCATATTAGTAAATTAGATGCCAGACTCAACCACACCATGAGGATTATAAGCAGATGTATTAAAAGCATTCTGACTTGCTGGCTTCCTGTTCTGAGCTATATAGTATCACCAGGTTTACAAAGGAAAGATGCATTAGTGAGAGAATATAGAAAAATTATGAACAACTCACCCCTACCGGTGCACACCGATTTTCCTCACTTATCAGCAGGAAGTCTGAAATCCAGGAAGCCCCCATTGGCACCTGCACAACAACCTTAACATTGATTCCCAATGGAAAGCCAAATGGGTCGCTGAATGCCCAGACATAAGCAGACATATAAATGACCCCATAAAATAGGTGCCAGGCCTTGAACTAAACCATTAGCAATGGATAATCCTGAATAGAATTCACACCTCATATGACTCTCTATATAACTGGGGCATAGTATCCTCCCCTCAGTCTGACTGTGAGTCCCACATCAAACTGTAGATTGCATCATGACCAGCTGTAAACTGAGGGCATGTACCAGGCCAGTATCTGATTGTTTTCATATAAATGATGCTGAGCGTCAATGATTAGATGGCTAGACATCGGTATTTGAAGATAGAGCTTTTTAACATTTATATTTTATTCTGTTTTACTAATCTAGATGAAACGTTAATATATATTGCTAGTCCATGAATGATATTTTATTTTATTTATTTATTTATTTATTAAATTTTTATACCGCCCCCTCTCCTGAAGGACTCGGGGCGGTGAACAGCCAAAATTAAAAACACACAATACAAATATTAAAATACATTAAAACGAAATTAAATTATCTTTGGCTTCTCCAATTTAAAACTCCTTACCCATAAAATTCCCCAATTAAAAGATTTTTAACCCAGCCCGGCTTGATGAAATAAAAAAGTCTTCAGGGCCCGGCGGAAGGTCCGGAGGTCCGGGATTAGTCGTATCCCTGGGGGTAGCTCATTCCAGACGGCAGGTGCCCCCACAGAGAAGGCTTATTTAGTGTATATGTCATACACTAAATAACCACTTTCTTCAGTAAACTCCATTACATTTCAGGTGTCTTTGCAAAGTTTTATACACAAACCTCCCTTCCACCTCCCAACTGACATTTCTGAACTAGCCATTATTTACATTTTGGCATACTATTTCTAAAGCACGGTCAGAAATTCAAAATGCTACCATTTTCGACAAGAACCAGGCTGGGAGGGGGGCTTAGGCCAGTTCGCAGTAACTCAACAGTTCGGGAATGTTTACTACAGGTGTGCGGCCTAATTAGGAAGGAGAATTAAAATAAAAGTAATAATGCTCTCGGAGGCTTGCCTTTTTTTTTTTTTCACCCCTATATCTTCCTACTGCAAAAACACGATTCTGCAGGCTTTAAAGCCGTGATTTTGACCTTGTTCCCCTCTCCAAAAAACACTGTGCAACCGAAACCTATTTTCTGCCGCGACTTTTTAAGAGAAATAATTGGGACCACGCCCCTGAAAAAACGGGGGTCTGGATTTGAACAAGCACTCGCGCCTCCCTTTCTAATTCCGCTCGCGGAGCCGTCTCCATCCGCAGCAGCAAGCCGACAAGTGGAATGACTAGGAAGTGTCTGATGATGTCCCCCGCCGCTTATTGGTTGTATCGAGAAAAGCCATTGCCTTTTCTTCGGCCGTGATTGGTGGCGGCGAAAATCTCCTTTCTCTTAAGCCCGCCTTTTCTCCGATTTCGCTCCTCCTCGTTGTTTTCATACGGCAAGGCGCGTGCGCTACTGGTTGGCCGAGGAAAAGATCGCGCAGGCGTAGTGGCTGCTTTTGAACTCGGCTGGGGTCGGAGTGCCAGGGTATCTTGTGGCAGGTGGGTAAGTAGGCGAGCGCCTCTTTGGCAGGTGACGAAATCGGAAGAAAGAAGGGTCGAGGCGCGCGCTTCTGCCCTGGGGAGTCTTGCGGGAGCTGGGACGCGGCGTGGTGATGGGAGGAGAATTGGCCGGAGTGTGTGGATGATGGGTTGATGGGATGTAGGCGAAGATTTCTTCGTGCCAGGATGCAAAACCGTATTTCCTTCTATAAGGAGAGGGCGTATTTTTCTCTGAATAGAGCTTTGCGGGTAGAAATGCGAAGAATCCCGCTTAGGATCTGTTGTCAGAAATGCGAAGAAACCCGCTAGGATCTGTTGTCAGAGCCTTTATGTGTTGGAGAAAGCATCTCTCTCCATCTCCTTCCCTTCCTCTCTAGTAACAGGGGATCCAATCCAATCTTTTGAACACAATTGCATTCAACCATGACAAATTTGAAGGATGCAAATGTATTATTATCCGGTCATAACAATTGGCGTACAGTATAATGTGAATATACTCTGTCCACATTACACTGTATACAAGTATATATATATACTGTACAGAGTATTAACTGAAATTGTCCTAAAATATATTTAAAATGAGTTGAACCTCCAGATAACTACTAATTTTAATTGTAGGATGTGCTTCTTCTGGCTGCAATAATATTTGCTTGAAGAATTGTGTAAAGTTTTAAGAATGTGTATATTCTGAAGATGTTATAAAAAGTTGGGAAGTGGATAGTTTTAATATGTGCAGAATTTATCACTTTTCTAGAATAAAAAGTATACCTATTAATTTGTCCCTTAGAGCCAGCATTTATAGCTACAGAATCACTTATCCCTTTTTGACATTCATAATGGCTGCTGAGCCTTGCATTTTGAAGTTTTGGTAACAAGTGTTGTCCGTCTAAAATATTAAGCCAGAAAATGGTGATTCTGTGTATGTGCATACTATTGATATTGTTTTCTGTCCTTCAAACAGAACATATCTCACAAGAAGTTGAGGACGGAAAGGATCTATTTAACAATGATGAATGCGGATATGGATGGTAGAATGCATTTTAACTATTATTTTGCTATTATGTGCATTATAATATTTAACTGTTCTAAAGATTATGTATTTTTTATCAGCTGTTGAGACTGAAAATCAAGTAGAATTAGAAGAAAAAACACGACTTATCAATCAGGTTTTGGAACTGCAGCATACACTTGAAGGTTAGTTTCTTAATTTAGATGTATAACTTCATGCCAAATTATTTTAAAGATAGAATGTCATTAATAGAGAAAGTAAACTGTGTAAATATATTTGAATATTTCCTTTAATTTAGGGATAGGCTAATAACCTAATATTAAGACTAATAGTCTTATACCATGACTGCAGTATTAAAGCAGTGATTTTTAAGGAAACTAGAGCAATGTGGTATATTTAAATGTGTCTTGTCAGTTCCTTTTGACTCTGGGTAAGTAACTTAGATTACTATAAAGGCAGACAGATTAAGGAGTTGGGATATTGTTGTACTGGATGGTTTTAGGATTCCAGCATTGGCAAGGATGTTGGATAGAAGACCTCCAACCTTATGATTTTATGAAATAATTGCAGTAACTTCTGCTCCATTTATGAGTTCAGTTCAAGATTTCTTCCCAACATTTATTAATTAGTTGTGAACCAGAATATTGTAAAGATTACCTTTTTCTAGATAGACCTGTCCTGGTGAGAAATATTTTAGCAGTGACAGCGGTTATAGGATATTTCTGGTTTTATCATCCTGACTTTGGTGTGCCCCAATTGATAATGGATTAGTTTTGGGGTTTTTTGTAACTACATACATAGATTTATTGGGGTCGTTGCATGGATTTCATTATACAATTGCCTTTGTATTTTTAATGACTTTCAAAAACTTTGCAATTTAAAACAAAATGTTTTGCTTAAACATTGGCTGCTAAAGACCTCTACATGTCTTTACAGATCTGTCTGCAAGAGTAGACGCCGTTAAAGAAGAAAATTTGAAATTGAAATCAGAAAATCAGGTTCTTGGACAATATATAGAAAACCTCATGTCTGCCTCTAGTGTTTTTCAGACTACTGACACAAAAAGCAAAAGAAAGTAAGGCGCTGCTAACCAAACAATACCATTGTACTGCTGCTGCTTTTGTTTGATTTTAAATGACATAAGGCTACATAATACTCTAGTTTGTATCATCATTGAAGTTATGAACATTTAATGTTAGTTCTAGACATCTTAATTTTTTTAATGAATTGGACAGTACAAGTCTGTAATGTCAGTTTTCAGCAACATAGGATAGAGAAAATATATTTATTACTACCACAGTCTGAATACAAGTGCTTTTGAAAATCAGTTCTGCTTTTATGGTTAGTGTCATACATGGCCAAGTACTGTAATTATCATGGTTTTTATAGTATTACTATTTGCTAGCAACATAATACAGTGTTGTGCAGAGTGGTATGAAAATACTTATTTGGAATGAATTATTTGCATGACTTCTGTTAGTTTTCAAAAAAGTTGTACATTCTCCATCTCTTCTGCATCCTCCAGGAAAATCTATGCTAATTCTTCCAGATGAAGACATAGTTTAGCTTGTTGAGTGGTGGAAGTTAATTCTTTTAAATGAGAGTGTATAATGTATTGCTTGCAAAATTGTAAAGAGGAAAAAGAGCACTCTATAGCTTGATATACCACTCTGGAATTAATAAATTATAATTTTAAAAATGTCTTAAAAGTTCCTTTCACTTATTGGGCCAGTATAGTGTTGCAATTGTTTTAACTGTGTCCTGTTTACATAACACTTTGTTACATAGTAATATTATCAATTGTGATGATACAAACTTGGGAGAAATAATCTTGTAACAATTAATAGATATATTTATGAATTTTCACTAGTTCTATACTTTTTCTATATAATTCCTACTGACTTATAATCACATTTTAGCACCACAGATGATTTGCCTTTCAGTACTAGAATGAAATTAGGGTTTTTCAAGCATGACACACATCTCTACGAAAATACTAGCTGCTACAGAGATGTACCAAAAGGCCTGTCTCTCTGATACACTTCAAGCAGTTAAATGTAATAAGGCTTATATAATATACTACTTTTCCGGGATAAGCAAACAATTTACTTAGATGTAGGTAGATGCATTTACTTAGATGCAGATGCACAGTAACATTTCTGTGAATATATACAATAAGAAACTATCTTAATTTTCATTAAAGGTGAGCTGTAAGGAATCATTTTATTTTTGCAGACGTGTTTTCATTAGTCCGATGTCACTTTGTTGATATCATTAAGAATGAAAATTGCAGTCCCAATGTACTTGGAAGAAGCAATAATTAGGTTTTTAGAACAAGATGTGGAATGGAATGGCTTCTGATTTGATTGGATTCTAACAGTTTGGTGTCTTTTTTGCCATTTTTAATAGTAGTTTAAGGATGATTTAATTTCTGTTCTAAGCAAAAGTCTACTGTTTTGTAGATAGATGAGTATTTCTGTTTTTGGGAGGATATAAATGGTTCAGAACAGTATTGTAATTGGTGCTCATTTAGTAGGAGGCCTCAAAAAGGTGTCTTTCAGTGAACTATATGTGTTCAATGTTTTTTCTTCTGATAAAGCCCACTAACAATAGCACTTAGTCTTATATACCGCTTCAGAGTGCTTTACAGCCCTCTCTAAGCAGTTCACAGAGTCAGCCTATTGCCTCAACAATCTGGGTCCTCATTTTACAGACCTCAGAAGGATGGAAGGTTGAGTCAACCTTGAGCTGGTGAGAATCGAACTGTGAAACTGATGGCAGTTGGCAGTCAGCAGAAGTAGCCTCCAGTAATGCATTCTAACAACTGTGCTACCGCGGCTCTTAAGAGATTCTAGAATTTTTTTCACGCTATTCTATGAGGAAGACGTGTTTGAAACTAATTTCACTTTCCCCATTTCCATTAACCTTGTAGTAAGTCAAATAACCTGTTTAACTAGTGATTTTCCTATTCCTTCTTCCTTTGTGGATGTGATGCAAGTACAACATTTCAGATTCAAAAACAAATATTTTGATTGTGTAGGGATGGAACTGATTGGTGATTAAGTGCCATTTTTTCTTGATGAAATGCATGGGGATTCCTCCAAATGTTCTCCTTTTACATCACTTAATCCATTTGAGAAAAGTAGGAATGAGAAGGGAAGGGGAACTGCTTGTGAATAGTTGTGAGTTAATGTAGAACAAACCAGTAATCATCTAGTCTTAGGGCCACATGATCAAGAGACCTGAATTTAAGAGACTCAATAGATTAGCAGACACAGAGATTACTTAGAATTGACCACAAGAAGTCTAGAATTTGGATTCAACCGGTTTTTTGCAACTTCAGTGGCAACTAAGTTAGCAAGCATTAATGACACAAAAGTAAAGGACTATTTGACAATTTGCTCATAGGAATTGTTTCTAACCAGTTTCAGACTAACTCTTACAGCTAGTAATCTCAGAAAGTGCCATCTAAAGAGGATTGTTAATGTGACACTGAGTTTAAATGTCCTAGATGTGATTGTTACAGGGAACAAATCCGCCACTGGGGCTTATGTTCTAAAAATGTGCTATCTCAGAATTTATATTAAATAAAGATTTTTTTGAGTTTATTTTGGTCCATTTTGCTGCATCTTTTAAAATGTTACTTGGAAAATAAACCTTTATAAATATTGCAACTAATTTCTATGAAAGGTGGTAAAGCTAACTTTTTTTGAGCATCTTGTCAAAAATACTTTTTAGCAGTTATGAAAAATCTTTCATAAATATGCAAATTTGCACAGAATTCAGTTCCAACGTTTTCATCACAAACATTTAAAGAGTAAATTAAATGTGTCTCACTGTTTCAAACTAATTGTTGTGGCGATTGAGATCTCCAAAGAATAGCCTTAACTCAGATAAAGGCTGTACATTGATATACAAGCATTCTGTTAGTGATGCTTTATTACAGATGATGTTTTCATTATTCTGCATATATGCATAATGGTGATTCTTTGTCACCTAAGCAGTGTTATACAAATTGCAAATACAAATTAAGAAATAATAAGCCAAAACTATGGAAGAAATGCAAAGAATGGAAAAAAAGGAATAGAGCTAAATCTAGCTCTATCAACGCCATTCACGATACCTCTGTGCCTATCAGTGGTTCTACCACAACCAAGCATCGTACACTTCATTTACTTTCTTTTGTTCTTTTAAACTTCTCAGTCTTTTTCAGAATCTCACTCCAACCACAACTTTCTTAGCCTCTTTTTCTCTCAATCATACTCAGGTGCATTCATTTATCACCTATTCACATTTAACCCCCTCATTTTACCCACCCACACACTTCATAGGAAACCTATCCCCACTGTGTACAATTTACTTTTGATTCTCTTCATACAATTCTTGGTTCCCTGTAACAAAGATTATCAAAAGCAAAGAAAGCTCTAAATTTCCCATTTTTTAACATTTATGTCTTGTAACAGGCCAAATACTATCTTTCTTCTAGCATTTGAATTAGAATGCATTAAAATTTCTCCAACCATTTTCCTTTCTTCAATAAATATTTTATCTCAGAATATACATTACTTGCTCAAGCTTTATGCTGCAATAAGTAATTCAGTTTTCCATATTAACCACAACTGCTTTAGATCTTCAATACAGGTAGTCTTTGGCTTACAACCAGTCGTCTATTAACCATATGCAGTCAGGACAACCTGGAAACTGATGCTTTATGGCCTGAAAGCACTTCTGGCTGTCATAAAATGTTATGCTGATTCCCTCAATCATATGAGTGCATTTTAGTTACTTGGCAACCTGTTCACATTTATGACCTATTGCCAAGCGCCCTGTAATCATGTGATTGCCATTTCTAATTTTATCTCCTGGCTTCCCCAGTCAATGGGGAAGTCAGCAGGGAAGATTACAAAGGGAGGGAACATTGGAGTTGGAGTAACTTCCTCCAACATGCCAAGAGATTTCCCCTTCCACTCACATAGGAAGAGGAAATTTCACGAGCTTAAGGAAAAGACCTCAAATTTGGCAAAAATTCATCAGAATGAATGTCAGCATTCATCACTAGTATTTAAGCAACCATCTCCACTTCTCCAAAGAGAAAAATGCTAGCAAACCCCAGCATTCTGAGACTCCCAGAATGGTGGTGTTGTGGCCTGCCAGACTTGGATGATGAGGAAGTTCGGGAAGAACTTGGGCCAGTTCTGGAGCCTGGGAAGGCTCTGATAGATGCTTAGCATCAGACACAGACATAGAGCCAGGGCCATCCGGCATTTCCCAGCCAGAGAAGCAGCTGCCTTTGGAGTCAGACGTGAGGTGGAGGATCAGCTAGGCCTGTTCCAGATGCACGTATGCGCAGAGCAGATAGGAGAGGTGAACAACGGAGAACAATGAGCCAGTTCGGGGAGCAAAACAAACATGGACGCTGACTGGCCCCACCCTGGCTGGGGAATAAATAGGAGGAGAGTGATTTTGTCGCAGACAAAACATTTGTTTTGCATTTCTGGAAAGTTTGCTCCTTGTGTTTCGTGCGACAAAGACTGCCTTGCCAGAACTGAGGTTTGTCTATTTCTGTTTGAATTGACTTAATTTGCAGCCTCCTGGCTGGGAGCTCACAACCTTGCATTTATCATGACAAGGACTATTGTTTGAGTTAACTTCTTGCAGGACTCTTGCCTGGACTTTTTGTTGGTGAATGCAGTTAATTCCCAATGTGTAAATAAAGAGGGGTTTTTCTTTGCAGGGGGTCTGTTTCTTGCTTCTGTGAAGGCCGTATCAGAACAGTTGTTTGCTAGCATTTTCACCAGATTTGAGGTCCATTCTTTAGTGGGCGAAGGGATTTTCCACCAAAGGGTGGGGACAGGGCATCTGGGTGTAGTAGCATTCAGCTTAAGGATGAAAACTGGGATTGTGATTGTTGAACAAAGCTATCACATGGCATCTCACTTAACAAGTGCTTTGCTCAACAACCATGATTTTGGGCTCAATTGTGGTTGTAAGTGGAGGACTATACACTTCATGTCATAATGTATTTGCTTCAAATATTTGGACCTTGAAGCAACAACACAGCATACAATAATATATGTGTATTCACATCCAAAACCAACAGTCATTAGTCATATACAGATTGCTGGTGAAATATGATTCAGAATCTAAATAATTTAAGGACAGTATGATTAAATATGCAGAATTTAATGACACTGCAAAATATGCAGAATTGGAATGAAGTGGTAAGAGATGGAACAATAGAAATTTCAATGTACAAACATTACATTTATTCCAAACGTGCTCAGAAAAAGTATGTTTCATTGTTGGTATTCTATCTCCATTTTGATGCAATGTTATAAAATTAAACCATTCTGAAAAATGATTCATGCTAGTTTGAAGGAAATTTTGCAAGCTGAATTCCCATTTCATTCTACAATATTTTTACAGGTAGTCCTCAAGTTATGATGACAATTGGGACTGGTATTTCTGTTGCAAAGTGATGCTTTCTTAAAGTGTGACATCATGTGATAACACCTAGGAATGATAATAAGGACTGTGTGGGTCATTGATGAAGGACCTCATGTGAACATGACTTCTGACTTCCTTCAGTTTCCCTGTTGACTTTGCTGGCAGGGTATGTTGGAAATTGTGATCACATGACCATAGCTCGCACCTTCATTTAAATGTCCAGATATAAAATAATCCTGTCCTACAATAAAGAGCCTTGAGACAAAATAACTTTTTAAAATAAAAATGTGTTAGTGGGCTCCCGAAAATAGGAGATCCTTCTTGTATTCATTTGGTAACTCAGAAGTGAAACTCCTGCAGAAAATGTGCAATCAGTTTCTGGAAGCTCTAATGTTATTCTAGTGATTTTCCATTTTGCAGTAGTATACACTGAACGTTGACAATTCTGAATATATAGCAGAAAATTAAATGTTAATATTATTAGAAATAGTTTGTTTTTTAAAATGTGATTCCAATAATATACACATTAATAAGCTTCAAGTTAAATAACAGATTATATTAAAGATTTTTATTTAGGAATCAATATAATTTAGGAAGTAAATTGTACATGGATTATGCCAATCTGGCTTGAAACATAAAACTATAAAAGCATGAAAAATTTCATGTACACCAGTTACGTAAATACAGTTAATGTTTTTCCATTTAAATGTAAAACATGTTATTATTTAAAATTAATAATAATGAAGTACTTTGTAAAACAAAAAGCAGCAACTATAACAAACATTAAACACACATTACAACAAAATGTAAGTAAATATTACAGTTTTCAAAAATGTAATCAACAGCCAAACACAGTTATTGCATTCAGCTCAAAATATCAAAGTGATTTTATCATCTTTGAAATTTTTAACTCTAAAGCTTAAAAACAATATATCCTTTCTAGACCTAGGAAAAAAAACATTAAGACTTTAAAGGATAATTTGAAGCCAAACTTATTTCCATACAATATTTATTACTTAAATAACTTCAAAGAATATTTATAGTAAATCAGGCCTATAACCATTTTTAAAAAAATCTTCTATGAAGTAAAGAACCAGATAACAAGTAGGAATGTTTCCTCAAAAAGAAAATGAAAAATCTGACAAGATGAAGAGGGTCTGGAAAATAGGACTTAAAATCAAAACTGAGTTCAGTCTTTGTTTAAGAGTTAATAATCTCCATGCCTGTGCCAGTGTTAAAACAGTATGACTGGATTCTGTAACTAGAAACAAATAATACTAGATGGAAGTGTGTTAGTCTTTTCGAACTCTTCGTTTACGTACTGATTTTGCAGGTCCATCAACAGACCCAGTGCTTTCATCTGCTTCTCTCATCTGGTGGGGAAGGAAAATATGCACGAGAGTTGTCAAAATAAGTCATGGTTCACTATTATCCATCTTGGTTGCAACTAAATATTAAGTTTACTTTTGAAAATATTTTTTTCATATTAATGTTTTTATTTCTTAGAGCATTAAGAAAATCAATAATTACTTTGCATTTACAAATATGGCTTATCATTCTTTTTAAGCATTATAACTTGTATTATGAATCCAACATATTTAAGTAATAACTCTTTCCATATTGACTTAAAAGTATCTGCTTTCTAGTGTATTTAGATCCTAATATATAGTCTAAATTCACTAGTATCTCAGGAAACAATTATGTCAGTGAAAAAGTTATGGAATGGAATATCAAATAAAAAAAGAGTTGACCCTTTTTCGCATACAAAATTGACTTTATGGGAAACCCAACTTTAAAAATTTGGGGAAAGATGGTGATATGAAAAATTGGATGGAAACAGGTATTGGTATATGGACCAATTTATAGATAATGAATTTTTAACACACGCTATATTACAAGAAATATATGATATATCAGCTGTAACCCAATGGCAATATTTACATATTTATAGTTCTTTACACTTACAACATTTGTTAACAACATTGTTAGCATTTTCATCTGAGATACTAGAATGAGTGGTTAAATCCTTCAGCATATCTATCTGTTCTGACCTAGGCTTCCCCAGCAGCATGAAGCTAAGTCCTTGTTCCGATAAACCTCTTTTGTTTAATTTACAGTTAATTCCTCTCCAGCAAAGTCTTTCAAGATAGCTCACAATTAC